CCCCGCCCTGGTTTAGGTTTGAAAGCAGGTCGAACAGAGCTCTGTTTCCCTCCCTGCTTGTTTTAGCCGTGAGCTCAGTGGAGAAAATCAAAACATCCTAAAGACTGTGCTCCTGCTCAGCTTTCTTCTCTCTCATAGAGATAAAGATGCCCCCCCCCCCTCTTGGCGATGAGCGTCCTCAGAAAGTTGGCCCAGATCTGGTTCTGATTAAGTGTTTGCTGTCAGCCTGTGGTGAGCTCCTGCAGCTTTCTGCTGAGATGATAAAGCTCTGGGGTTGGAGTGAGTTTTGATATCTGCAGGCTGCAGGAAACCTTCCTCTGTGGAAATGTGTCCTCTGTCGGGTATCAGCACTCCGTTACTCCATCATTTCAAAAGATGAAACCATCCATGAGCGGGTTTTATGAAGGATATGGAGATAACTGAAAATGTTTTTTTAAAGACTATTAATCTATTTCAATTTGCTGTAGGACATTTAGATTTTCCTCTTTAACTCTGTCTGCAGTTGTCTTTGCCATGAGACACTCTGCATGTGTTGGGAGGGAAAACCTTTCCGAGTTTGTTGAGAATACATTGAACAAAAATTAAACCATCCAATAAATGTCTCACTCTAAATGCTCTGAATGTCTCATCAGACAAATATCGCTGTAACTGTCTACCGTTCAGTTAAAAAACAGTTAGTGTGGACAGTTTTTCATCCTTCGTTTAAGAATAATATAAATCTGGGGAGCAAAACTTACAATATGATTGTACAGGTGGAATCATTTTTGAGAGAAAAACTGTATTTTCATCCAGCAATAACTAAATCCTTATAAATACTGATAGCGTGCTATAGAAAGTCTTTGTTAGGGTTGAATCTACTACCTTTTTGTCTGTTGTTTGTACGGTTTGGCCCTTTTTAAAAAGACACCTCATGTCATAATTTTTCGCCTCATAGCTCGCTGCCTATCAACTTCCAGATAAAAAATAAATACCAACTTTTTTTGGTTAAAGTGTGTTTGGTCTTTAAGTTGATGATACAAACAGAAATGTAAAACATCTTGATGACAGGTAGCTCAGAAGTGGATGCCTGTAGATGCATTTGAAACAGTTTCTGGTGGAATAATTCATGCACTGGTTTCTGCCCAGTTGGAATCACCACAACATCTTGATTACAAATATTTTCACCTGCAAATCTAAAGGGAGCAAATAGAGACTAACATGAAAAACCAACAGTGGGTGCATGTTCAGAAACAACAGCAAAGGGAAGCATTCTGGGAAAGATACAGAGGATCATAAAACTGATGGGAAGGTTTGTGAGGCTCCGTGTGCACGTGTGTTTTCTGGGATTTAAAAAATCTGGGACAAAATGGTCCCGAGGGTGTATCAGTGGTCATCAAACATTAGTAAAGATGAGATTCAATCCTCTGATAAGAAGAAGGAGAGTGTATGGGACCTGGCGAGCGGCATCCTGTGGAAATCCCTGAGGATCTGTGATCAAAATGGAGAGAAATAACACCAGACCAGCCCAGGGAGCAAAAAGCAAACCAGAGTTTAACACCAAAGCCCAGAGCTTGTAATGTTTAGAATAAATTACACATCTCCTTTAACTAAATAGCTGGTAATAAAACACAAATGCATGTATTGGGTGCTTTAAATATTCTCTTGACAAAACTCCCCCCCAAAACATTCTGGTGTTGGTGTTTTTTTTTTCTATTCAACTGCAGCTGGTAATTAAACAAACTCAAATCATGAATAAGTACTTCCACTGTGCAAACAGTCCAAAGTGCTCTGCAGCTGTCAGGTAAATAAATACATTTATGGAAGCCAGGAGGAATTTTTGGATGCAATTCTCTTGCAATTACAGCCTGGGCCCAGACGAGTCAGTGTTCAGCAGAAAGAGCTCCAATAATCCCTCATCTTAGATTAAATTAATTCTGACTCCTTTGGTTAAGAAAATGTCCTTCCAAATAAATAAACTGTGGTAATGTGTCTTTGTTGTAATGTTATGCAATCCTGAATGTGTGTCTGCTGCCCCTGTGTGTTCTTTTTGTGGGTCCCTCTGATCAGTTGTGTTTGCTGTAATTTAATGTGACTTGGTTGCCTCTGGTTGCCAATTTCTGTCCTTAATTCGGTCAGATTCTTTCTTTTTTGTCGAATCACATGTTTTTCTGAGGTAGCTGTTTGTGTAAAAATAATTTAAAAAAGAACACTGGAGGGTCCCTTTGGCTTTAAGACTAGTCCATGCAGAAATACAAATACACTCAATTAAACTTTCAACAGTGCTGGTACATTGCAGCTTGTCTTTATTCAAAACGTGTTTTTGTATTCGTACGAGACATATTTGGTTATTATCGTCAGTTCCAGTGTGTGTTTTCTGTGACTGGTGTGTATTGTAACACATATTTGTGTTTAATTGGGAGGCATTATTGTGTGCGGGGAGTGAAGGGTTAACGATCCGCCGTACACTCACTAAAGGAGGAAAAAAGTCCACACAGCTGTGGCGGGCACCGACTGGAACTACTAACTAACCGGCCACAGCTTGTACCGGTAATTCCAGGGCTATGGATTGTAGGTCGCGAGGACACGACGGGAACCCGCGCGGACGCCTAGGCGCGTGGTGTTAGGACGCGATAAAAGGGCGCGTGGTCTGCGAGGTGTCAGCCTTCAATCATTCCCTGAGCTCCTCACCGGACGCAGTCTTCCGCGGCGCGCGCCTCTCCGGTCTGAACCGTCGGCGAGAACAGAAGAAGAAGAAGAAAGGGGGAAACCGCCGCTCGGTTGTGTGCGTGTTATAGTGAGTGTGAGTTTTAGGTCCATATATGTATGTATGTGGGCTCTGCGCGTGAAGCAGCCGGCAGAATTAAAGAGCAAGCAGGCCAGCGCGAGCCAGCACGTCCAGCAGGCAGAGAGGCAGCTCGCGAGCGCTCAGCTAGCAGCCGCACGCGCCACCACCAGAGATGGTCACGTCCGCAGCGGGGCTGCTTCTGCTGCCCGTGCTAATGTGCCTCCAGCAGCGCGTTAGCGTCCACGGTAAGTGTCGAAAACCCGGCCGTCCCTCTTCCTTTTCTCCCCCTTCGCCTCCTTTTTCTGGGCTATGGAGCGTAAACGAAGTGGCGGCTAACGCCGACCGGGCTGTACACCTGTCTTGGCTGCTCCTTGAAGGAATGGCCGTTTTGTGGAAAGACGCCTGAAATGAACCACTACGGGAAATGTTTATTTTTATTGTATTTAATGAGCTGCGCGTGCTGACCGGTTGAGCCTTTGCTTTCTGAAGGCGAACAGGCAGATGGAGAGGCCGCTTCGGTGTGAGCCGCCCGCCGTAACACTGCGGCTCATTTCCTAATTAGCCCCTCTGTCAATTACACCCGCGAAATGAAGCCGATAAAACAAAAACAGAGAATACCCCTCCGCTTGTTGGACTATATGATTTCGCCCGTGGCTCGTTCTGCTTTCTCATTTAATTCCTCTGTGGGATTGTCCTCATCGCAACCCCCAGCAAATCGGGGGGTAATTTATGTATTTATTCCCGAGGTGAAAGCCGACGGAGGGAAAGACGGAGTGGACAAAAGACGAACACAGAGGATTAAAACTTGGGGAAACTGTGTGTAAACCTCGGAGGTGGTTTGAACTGAAGCAGGAGGAATGCGCACATGGGAGTGACCAGGGCCAGGAGTCCAGCGCAGGGGGTCCAGATGAGGGCTTAATTACAGCTCACAGCCTGAGTCTAAGTCCTTCTTACCAGCATAGTTTCAGAACTGTTTACAAGTTGGATTCTGAAAGTGTTGGACCCAAATGAAAAGTAGTTTATCTAATTCAAAAGTGCAAACTTGGTTATTTGTGGTGGTTTTTCAATTTAGTTTTTTCAGTCTTTTCTACCAGCAGTCATATTAGCTGGATTTATTAGTATGAAAATCCACCTTGTCCTCTGAGGCTTTGACATACTTGGCACCACATACTATTGTAGGATAACCAGCACTATTGAACATGCATGGAAAACAAAGTCCTCACCCACAGAAGGGTGAGGACTTTATTTTATTTCAAGTAATTCTTATTAAATTCTCTGTTTCAGGGTTATTCAGTGAGTGAAATGCATGAGCCAGATTAGTCAGGAATATGGGTCAGGGTAGACATTGTGGAGTAGTGTTCATGAACTGATTTATCTGTACGAAGATGGAGAGGCATTTGTGATTTGCCTATAAAGCGTGTCCTGGATCAGATGGCTGTGAATGTATTTTCTTCTTCTGCTTGTGTGTGGCTCGGCGCTGGGTGCTCCGTCTTTGGCCTCTGGGGGTTGCAGTGAATCAAAATGAGCGTTTGTAATGTGTGCACGCTCCGGATATAATGCTCCCACCAGCTCTGTCTTTTTGATTCTTGGTTCCAAAGTGTGCTTTTTGAAACCGTGGGAGCAAAACGCCATGCAAATTGGCCAACAATGAGACTAGCAGTGGCAGAAACGCCACTCTGATTCCTCTCTTTCGCCTACATGCTTTCTGTGATTCCCAGCTAGACCTAGATCCTCGGCTCTGGGGGGGGGGGGCTGTTTGTGTGCGAGTGGTTCTTGAAGTGGGCGGAGTGGTGGACACGCAGAGGAGGAGGAGTGCTCTGCAAACGTTTGTTACTGGGGAAAATTGCAATTCCATGACCTCCAGTGTGACGCCATTCATATAGAACACAATGATCCTTTATTTTGGATGGGAGACGCTTAAATGCAGCCACATGGTTTTAAACAGACGCTGCTATTTCTGATAAGTCACTTGATGTTCATTCTTACTATGGATAACTGCATCGGAAATCAAGTTACCCCTCTGATTCAAACTTCTACATACCCGATTATTAATGTTATTAGTAGTACTTACAATAGGCAAGGCAAGTTTATTTGTACAGCACATTTTGTGTACAAGACAATTCAAAGTGTTTCACAGAGAATTTAAAAGCAGAAAAATGATAAAAATCAGCCAGATTAAAAGTAAAAGGTGCAGATAAAATCCATCCAGTTAAACGGATGTTTTCATCTGGATTTAAACATCCAGAGTTGGGATCTGTCTCACGTCTTCAGGAAGACTGATCCAGATTTTAGGAGCATGGAGCTGAAATTAAGCTTCAGCTGGTTTAGTTCTGACTCTGACCAGAACCTGGTTTAGTTCTGACTCTGACCAGAACCTGGTTTAGTTCTGACTCTGACCAGAACCTGGTTCTCAGAGTCCAGCTGGTCCATCTGGCTCCAACATGTCAGACCATGAAGAGACCAGAACACCAGCAGAGCTGTTTTAGTCTGTTCTGAGAGACAGGAAGCCAGAGCAGAGACCTGAGCCCAGACAATAGTTGTGCTGCTTGTAGCTTTGTGCTGGCCCTCTCGTCAACTGGAGCTGTTGCATGAAGGCGATCAGACTTTGTGTGTCAGCCAGAAATTGAGTGACAATTGACTGAATTTTGATGTATTGCTGATTTTCTCAAAGTGCAGACAGTACACTTCTGCTGATTGCCAGCCTGTGGCTATCGGCCCAGGGGATGCACACAGAGGGGAAACATCAGTTTATCCTAAAGTGACTATAGGCAAGAACAAACCCTGCTTTTTTTGGTTTGTTTTTTTGTTGAAAGGGTTCATTCTTGTTTTGCAGAGTTTTCATGATGCTTCTCTGGTTAGAAAGTGACTCAGATGATGATGCTTACCAGATGAAGTGCTCAGTGTCTTTCCAAATCCTCCCCTGGGAATTTAATGTATGTAAACTCTTCTCAAAGGAAGGCCTTATGCATTTTTTTTTTCTGTCCAGGAAATGTTTAATCAGTAATTCCCCCTTTTCTTTCATTCAAAGCACTCTTGATGTAAATCAGGAAATGTCTCGTGGTCCTGCTGTATTTGGGCTCTTTTTGTGAACAGTGTAATCTTGTAAATCTGCTGTTTATCAGCCAGTGTCTCATTACTCTAACAAAAACCCAACACATCCATGTAAACATTGTCCAGTTGATTCTGAATTTAAGAATTTGATGTCTGAAATAACTTAATATTTAAAGGTGTTGTGTGGGATTAAACACCTAAAGTAAAGCACAGTTCTGTAGAAGAAGCATGTAATGAACTTTTCAGCTTGAACTTTTTTGTGTGTGTACACTGTTTCTTTGTAGTTCAGATCCCACTCACTCATGGGCTTGGTTACTTGGGGGTGTTTTTTTGGCCTTGGTTGACTTTAGGCTGTTTGGATAGTTGGCTATGTACTGTGGAGTCCAATGCTGGTCTTGGCTTCACAGTAGCTAAAGTTTTTGCTTTTGAAAATAAAACTTCCAGATCTAAGAGTAACTTGCAAAAAAAATAAAAACGGTGAACTTTAGAAATATGTCTCTTAACTTGTGCCTCTACATAATTGTTTATATGTGAAAGGGGGAAAAGCCGCTGTAAACTGGATATGTTTCTAATTCAAAACCCTCACTTTTGCTCATTAGTTCTAAGGTCTTGAGTTCAGATGTGGGATTTAAGTCTAAAAGCCATTCTTAGTGCATTTCATCCAGCATTCTGAATGTTAAAGCCAGTAGTTGACCTTTTTTAAGCGATTTTAACTGTGAGCTCCTCTTGGCTTTTCATCGGTGAGTGCTCCACTGACCCACCTGGACCAGTCCAGATTGAGCCAGTCTCCAGGGCAGACAGTTATTTAACAGAGCTTTTGACACCAGTTCAATAAACAATACTGCAAAAAACTCAGAACTTGGACTTTTTTTTTTTTGTGTGCGTGTTTTTTGTCATGCTTTAAGGTTAAATTAATTGAGCTTTTCTCCGATTAGACTTTGAGATGCGCTCTTTGAGATCTATTTTTTTTTAAAAAGAAATTACTGCTTTTTTAAAAATTCCTTTTCTCATTGGCCTTACATCTGAAAGGATTATACTCAACAAAGTTTTACTATTTAACTATTTTAAAGTACTTAATATTTCCAATATTTGATTGTGTGAGATGCCTAATGTGTGGATGTTTCAGACTCATTGGGACTTAAAGTGAATAACTCTTTAGTTTTGAAGATGCTAGCTGGTCCTGGTTCAGTTGGAGGTTTCAGTGAACCAAAAGCAGTTATCAGTCAGACATTCCTGACTTGCTGTGAATGTAAGTCGCTTCAGTTCTTGTGTTCACGTGGCGTCTGTCTTCCTCTGCAGGTACTCAGACAGAATGTGAAGCCAACCAGTTTCAGTGTGGCAACGGCCGCTGCATCCCGTCCGTGTGGCAGTGTGACCGAGACGAGGACTGCAGCGACGGCAGCGACGAGAGCTCCTGTGGTGAGCAGCGTTTCCCCTCCTCAGAAGGCTTTTATTCATATAATGGGGCTGTGTTAAATTGAGTCTTTAATCAAACTTGCGAGTCTAAAGAATGTGTGTTGGCTTCATATCCAGCAGAATAGAAGCTTCAACTTTCATCTCGGTCATCAGGTATCATAGAGAAACTTAAAGGAGTCAATGCATTATTTTTTATCCACTCCTGCAAGAAAGCAGCCTTTTTGTTTCTTCTTAACTTGATAACAAAGATGCCATCTTTTAGTTTGGTATTTGTTTTTGTCAGATTTGCAATTTCCAGATGATTCAACCATTTTTGCAAAGCTTTTTATTCATTTATATATATATTTATTTTTCCTTTTTTAACTATACAGTCCAAGTATAAACTAACAGCTTGGGGTCAAGTGGGATCAGAAAGTGGAAGTAAACAATTTTTTGTCAAAGGTTTTTTTCTCTCATTAAATTTTTTTTATGTACACTTGGTTTTCTTTGGAAATTTGGTAGATGCAAATTGAATAAATATGACCAAGCATTTGATTTATATTCAGACCATTTGAACTCTATATGAACAGTCTGTAGTGCAGAATATCCCCAAAGATAAAGAGCGCCTCGCTTACCATCTCTCCAAAGATCACCTTTCAGGCCATTTCAAATATTGACTGAAAGATCGGAGTATTCTGAAAGGGTGCTGCCCTGGAGTCTACTTGGGGAATGCCAAGCCAAAGCTGTCAGCCTGGTGATGAACACGAACTAAATACTTGTTCACACAATGGAAAGGATCAGTCTGACACACTACCACTTTTTTACAATTTTAATCCTAGACAGATTTAACTGTTTAAAGGGAAGCTGCTTACTCCCCAACCTCACTTAACCTTGTAGTAATTATTCATATAGCTGATTATTAATGTAAAATTGAAAATGGAATATCCAGCCGGTGAATAACTGCAATGGCATGAGCCTTACATACTGGCTGTGGCTACACTTTAACTTTCCTCAATTAAATTTGAAAGGTTTTATACTTGAAATAATTTTTATTAACCCTTGTGTTTCCATTGGCATCCATATCCCTGGATTCAGTGAATCCAGGGGAGGGCAAGAGGGCACACAAGGGAACCTGTTTGGATACCGCAATGGATCCAAACTGCAGCCAGATTAAATGGTGAAAGTGTTCCGCACTTTGTTAAATGATTCAACCTCTTCCATATTCAGACTGATAATTTAAACATGGTTCAGCTCTCCACTTTATTTCAGTAGCCTATTTCAGGATCCCCAGCTCCTGATGTTAATGCACAGTTGTCATATGACATTGAGAAAGCACCACATTGATTTGGCCCACCGTGAGAATTCCTCCAATCTCTTGGGACATAACGACCTGCTGATTGAAGGTTGGCACATAGTGGAGCTAAATATGGATGCAGTTGTGTGGGTGTGTGCATGTGTCCAATACTTTCATCTATCTGGGTCATTTGAGGTGGGAGGAAAGAACAAGTACAGGGAAATGAATGAGAAAGGAGGTCCTCTATAAAGACAGGTGACAGACGGTGTACAAATAAGGTGAGACGATATAAAAAGGAAAAAAAGGAGTGGATGGATATTGAAGATTTGGTCATTACTTTTTGTTTTTGTGCAGATTAAGCCTTTACCTACTGACAATATGATGGCACATATATACTGTCTGCTTAAAGAATGTGCTATTCAGTCACTACAATAGAACTGTGCAGGCTGTGTTTCAAGTTGTTAGGCGTCTCCTCAACATTGGAAATGTGTGTAATTAAACAAACGCATGCAGAAATACCCCCCCCTCCCCAAAATTGCAGGTTTAGTAACACTATTCCACATTACCATGATACTGGCAGAAGGAATGGGAATTTTTCCTTGGATCAAGCAACTTGAATGGAGTTAAGTCAATAGTCGGACATGTGAACATATCCAGCACTGTGGCCATAGGTAGAGGGTTAATCATTTTTAACTCAAAGGCAGTGAATGCAAACAGGACAAAGTAATTGAAGGTAAAAATGGCTATGTGGGCCACTCTGGTAGGAAAAAGTGGGGCAGCTGCGTCACACGGTTCAGACTCTGAATGCTGCTCTTATCCAGGGGGCCGTCTGGCTGCACTTACCTGTCTGTACCGCTGACTTTGCCATCTGTATCTTCTATTTCTCTGACAGTATAATTACACGTTATCCCACAAATTTAACTCTTTGATGCATTTGACTAAGATCTGCCCCCACAGGAGGAAATGTAGAACCCCACAGCAGCATCTCTACAAACGGTGGAAGTACCTTCTGTGAGGGACCGTTTAGCCTTCTGGCTGAACGTCTATGCGTTCTGCTGCCTGTTAAACATCCAGCTGAATACACAGCTAATCCACCACTCATGAATGTGCATTTAAAACATTGGGGTTATTTTTTCCCATTCTAAAATTGCCATTCCTCATTAGTAGAGATGTTGCATCACAGGAAATGGATTTAGAAATGTCTGTACAAATGTATGCTTTTGTTATGCTCGTTAAATGTGCCTGACACCAGATCCGAGCCGTTTCTGTCTCGGTGCAAACAGACCCGAGCTGAACCGCAGAGCGTGGAAAATGAGACTCCAAATTGAATATATTCTTAAGTCCTTGATAATGAGTTCCACTGTAACATGTTTTGGCTCAAATTGGAGTCAGCTGCTTCTCGGCTACATTTATGTTCTGGTCAGACTCTAGAAAAAGGTCAATATAATCTTAGGTGGGAATGGGTTTAAAGAAAGGCTTAATTGTTTAAGTCTCCTGAAGATCAAATTAGATGCAATGCAAGTCAAAATATCACTTTTTGGTCTTTTCCCAATATCTTTTCTAAAACTGTTTAAAGAATCCTCCTTCTGTCTCTATCCAGTCAGAAAGACCTGTGCTGAGGTGGACTTTGTGTGCCGAAATGGCCAGTGTGTGCCCAAACGCTGGCACTGTGATGGTGAACCTGACTGTGAGGATGGCTCCGACGAGAGCTTGGAAATCTGCCGTGAGTACACTGCCTTTCCTCTAGAGTCCAGCACTGATTTCAACTTTTTTTCTTTTTTTTTCTTCTTTTAAATCTCCCATTTTGAATGCACCAACACCCTAGTTTGAAAGCAAAACTAAACCTTGTTAAGATGAAGCCTTGTATTCCTGCTAAATGTCCGTCTCCTGAGACAAAGTGTGCTTCAACTACTTTAGAAAAAAAAAAGATTAAAGTCACATTCTGCTGAATTCTGTTATTTCAACCCCTTTTGCAAGCAGCTGTTGCATTCTTTTGTTTGCTCTGAACAAACTGGAGAGAGCTCTCTTTATCTGAGAGAAGAGAGCTAATGAGGACCGGCACAGATTATCACCTTTTTCTAAACTGCATTTACAACACTAGGAACCTGTCGGACTACCCAGTCTGGATCTCTGCCTAAAAACTCTAAACAAGTAATTTCTGCTGATTTTCTGTAATACTTTATCTGTAATGAAAGGTGAGCTGCTGCATTGTGGTAGACTCTAGAAATGAAGGTTTGTTTTATATTTTCTCCCTCTTCTACTTGGGGGAGACATTGGGGTCTTCCAGGAGTCATAACTGAGGCATTTATAGAACTGCAGAAACGTGTTGAATACTGCCTGATTAGTTATTGTCTCTGCTGCTTGATGGATTTTTGGGATTGGATTAGGGCTTGTGCTGTGTTCCTGGTTTGATCTTGCTGTCAACACTTCTGCTTTTATCTTGAACCTTTGCTTTTTCATTTGCAAAATTGAGGAAGCCTTAATTGGTTATCCAGCCTGTGTGGGCTCACATCTTGATTACTGATTTAGTTGGTAAAATGTAAGCTGATTTGCCATTTATTGGTGCTGTGTATGAAAACAAAAGGCCGGTTGTAGAGCTTTTCTCTTTTTAAGCCATTTCATGTGAATATGCACATCAGAAATGTCTCGTTATAAAATGTGTGGCTTTCACGTGAGGAGGTGATGGAATTGGGATGGCAGCAAAATCTCTGCTCATGCCTCAGTTAATGTCTGAGGTTCTGCTGGTGGGAGCAGTTGGTCTGTTAGTTTTTGCAGGATGTTGAGGAGGCACCAGCAATCACGATTTCTGTAATGAAAAGTCAAAGGCTGCCTGTTGGGGGAAGGCAAACCTGTTCATCTGTAGCAAAACCTGAAGATCAGTGGATGGGATGGAGATGTCATACTTTGAGCTTAAAATGCATTTGGAAATGTGCTTAATTCACTTTTCTGCTGAAAGTTATTTTTTAATTTTATTGAGGCTACTATTAGATGCATATTGTGTTGACAGCAACATAAGGAACGGAGTCACAAGCAATGATCTGTGCATCGTTCTGCTATACAACATCTCTAGCAGAAGCTTTCAAGCTTTGGCAAAAGACGAAAACATCTGAACGCATCTGTTCATGAGCCGGGTGTCTGGTTTGAGTGGGAGTCCTTCAGAAGTGATTCCTCAGACTGCAGTGAGCCGCTGTCATACTTATGTAAATAACAGTTTATGGCTTCACAAATGGGTGTGACTCCATACTCAACATGAAGGTTGAGTTTCACATTTTAAGCCAGAGTACTGTTCAGCTTCTAGACGCCATTAGCTGGGCAGTCACTTCTATGCCCTGTTGAAGCTCTAGGTTTTACTAAACCGATTACAGCTTTGACTTTGACTGTCCTGTCTGTGTGTGCTGCTGGTGGAGCAGCTCCTAGCTGTTATGTCACCGCTCAGTTGGAGCCGCTTACCTTTGACTCTGCGGCAGGGTGTGGAGCCATTAAACGCTCACTCATTAAACAATCCTGTGATGTCAGACTTGTGATAACTTTTGAAAGGCAACATTACAACAAATGTTGGCCTCTCTGATACCATTTTTAGCAAATGATTAAAGACCAATTGTTAGAATTTCTATCCAATATATTTTGTTCCGTGTTTCATGTATTAAGAAAAGTGACCAAAGAGTCTGTCATATCTTGACTTTTCAGCATTTCCATCAGTCATCTCTGCTCTCGAAAGGAAACGGGCAGGGTTTTAATTTGTTTTTTTGTTTTTTTGTTTTCCCACCCGCTGACCTTTTCTGTGGCTTAAATGAAGTTTAGTGACTTTCTGAAAAACCACACAGTTACACCTGTGTTTATATGCTTCTATTTGTTTTCCCTGCTCCTTCACACAACAGCATATTTACTTTAGTGTAAAAGGACAGGAACTCGGCACAGAAAACATCAGCTAGATGGGTTTTAGTCTTGACTCCAGGATTAAGAAAAAAGGCATGAAGGGCCCGTTTGCCGGTAATGAGCCTGCTTTTGTTTCCCTGCAGACACGCGGACATGTCGTGTGAATGAGTTCAGCTGCGGAGCAGGAACCACCCAGTGTATCCCCGTCTTCTGGAAATGCGACGGAGAAAAGGACTGTGACAACGGGGAGGACGAGGTGGGCTGTGGTAAGTGGTTTTCTGCTCGCATTTATTTTTCCCCTTCTCAAAACGCTGTCATTCAAATGTTAAGCTTATTTAAGAAGGTGTCTAAGGTGATATGTCCACAGCCCATGTTCTGTAACTGACCCCTCAGAAAACCTGAGCCCCAGATAACATTTTAGCCTTCATGTAAAATGCTCCAATGTTTCTTAGGCTTGTCACTATAAAGTAAAACGCTCTAATCCCAGACAGTTGCTGTCTGGGAAAGGTCGGCCTCATTAAAACAGCACTTTAAGTCAGTGCTTCTTTGAGAACTGAATGTATTTGACATCTGATATCCATAAATCTGCCAAGGTTGTCATTCATTTTGATGTTAGTCATCATCAAATTTTCCAAATGAAAGAGTACCTGTTCTATCTCAAAGCTTTGTTTAGATGTCATGTGATGCAATTATTCAGCAACTACCCTTTCTTTTAAAGTGGGCTCCCACTGAAGCATAAAGTCAGGATCTTAAACTGAAGATCCACACGGTCCTCTGTTGCTCCCATCCACCCACTCTGGCTCCCCAGAGGTGTTATTAGGGAAAGCAGACGGGTGAATTTGGCTCTGAGAATCTGCAGGGTTTTTTTTATTTAAAAAAAAAAAAAAAATTTAAGGAGGGTTTGCTTAATGTACAAAGCAACAGTCAATATAGTCTCTTTTCAAATGGAAAGCTGAAACGAATGTCTCCTTTAAGGTCTTTTTATAAAAAAAAACGTACATATAAACTAGTCTTGTTGTTGGCCGGTAATCACTAAATCTCTCTAAAACGTCATGGTCCACATAGTGTGTCAGAAATGTTCTCATTTGAACTCATGAAAGTTGGCTCCATGGCATATTTCTGTGGCATTGGTTTTGGTGTCCTTTACCTTCCCCAAAGCTTATTTCATCAGTATAACCAGATGCCACCCAGCGGTGACCCTTTTTTTTAAAAAAACATTTATTTATTTAAATGATTCAAACAGGAGTGCATTAAAGCTGTTCCAAGTGTAAAAGAGGGGGTTACACTTTTATGCTTGCATCAAGTTTTTTTTTTTTTTTTACATTTAAAAACTTTTTTAAAATCAGATTTCAACCTTTGTGTAGTAAGTTAACTGAATTAAGCTTTAAAATGTAAAGTGCACAAAGGAGATTGTTTCTGCTCAAAGCAGGATGAAACATTGTGAGCTGTTGCCCCTCTTGTAGCTCTCTGATCTCCGTCCTCCCACCAGATAACGTGACCTGCGCCCTGAACGAGTTCACGTGTGCCAGCGGCCGCTGCATCTCCCAGAACTTTGTGTGCAACAATGAGGACGACTGTGGCGATGCGTCGGACGAGGTGGACTGTGCTCCGTCCTCCTGTGGGCCCAGCGAGTTCCAGTGTGGGAACTCCTCGTGTATCCCGGCCAGCTGGGTCTGCGACGATGACGTGGATTGTCAGGTAAGAGGAGCCAAAGTCAAGGTTTGCTCTGGGCCGCGGTGTAAAATACTCTTACGCCAACCCTTTATTTATTCGTCTTATTTTTTAAAACCCTTTAAAGCCTGATCCAAGAATAAAACAGAAAACTACTTTTATTATTATTTTTTTTTTTGTTTGAAGTCTTTATTTGGCCTTTAAACAAAAATGGCAAAATAGATATGTTCAAAGAAAAAACGAGTACATTTTTAATTTATTACTATGCAATAAGTCATTATTTTTTGTGTAATCTTCTGCCCCCTGTTATCGGGTATATCTGATTGTGTAAAATAGGATTTTGAGCAAAGTTTTTACCATTCAATTATGCAAAAGGTGTATGAATCAAATATGATACATTTGGCTTTACTGGGTTAAGTGCAGCCACTGTCCCTGGTGTTTGCTCCTGCAGTGACTCACCCTGTGCTTCCTTAAGCGTTTACATGTGCCTGTGTTCTGCATGTTAATATTTGTGTATGGTGCTCTGTAGCTGCTTCATGCTTATAGGAGATGACATCCCCAGCTCACAATGTCAAACCCCACATTGTTGTGCTTTTGTGTGGGAGAGTGTCTATTGATAACTGAGAGGACTGTGTTTAAAGCACCATTTAACCTCATCAGTTCTGTGTATGGATCATTTACATTTCACCTTTCACTCACTGACTCTTGTAGATTTTCACATGCAGCAGTTCTACTGAGGACTTGCTGCCTGTTAATTGGCTGTTAATCACTGATAACATTCACACCCACAGTTGCTTAAAACGCTAAGCTCAAAAGGGAGGTTTTTGTTTCAAAGAGTGGGTTTCCACATGTTATCACACTTGTCTGCTTCCACATGATTCAGTTGGTTCAAAATGATGAAAGTGTGAGAAACTCCTTCCTGCAGCTCGTCTGCATCCCATTTTGATCTGAGAGGCTAATTTAAATTAATGATCTGAGTGCTAAACATATGTTTAATCATTTCTCTGGTGCTTTGCACTCTGATCACTCATCAGTCAGATTTCTGCAAAACAGCCTCTTTGATTTTTTTGGGGGGATGATCTGAAAGAAGCTTGACTTTACCTCAGTTCTAATTTGATCTGAAAGTGTTTACTATTTGTTTCGCAGCATATTGCATACGTTTGTTAATCTTTTAGACCGGTTATTTTTCATGTATTTTATATTTCAATACACTTCAGTTTTTTAGCTGTGGGTAGTGCTGTTTTGACTGAAATAATTCATATATATTCAATTTAATGTACAAGACTTGAATTTGTTTAGACTGATTAGATTCTTGCACACCTTATTCTTTATTTTAAATATAATTACTAATGTTTAGGTCGAAAACATCAGAATTTATTTCGCAATAAGAAGCCGAGGTCCACAAATATTCAACTGGTTAAATAATGTCCTAATATAATTAAAAAGACGAACAACTACCCAATCATGTCCTAATAGTGAATCTTGTGGAACACCACAAGTTACTTTTTCCCCCGAAAATATTACACAATATTAATCATTTACATACCGAAACCTATTTAAATTAATTGATCCAGTTTTGTGTAGAGCCTCTTCTCATTCAGCTCCGTTTCAGCTAGAAACACTGTTCAACTTTTAAACGACAAAATTACCAACAGAGTTTTCTTATTGTGGAGGAGCTGGACTTTGACAGCAGTTTGAGAGAAAAATGTTGGCCAGAATAAAATCCATGCTGGGCAATTCTACACATCCTGTTTATGAGGTGCTGGTCACTCACAGAAGCAGCTTCAGTCACTCATCTGACCACAGAGCTCCACTGGAAGTCAGCCATCAAACTGTAGCATTCATCTCTCTGACAGTCATTTAATTATTTATTTCATACTTCACTACTTGCAATAAAACAGTCATGTGCAACAATAGTCATTTAGACATTGAGCAGCCTTATTAATACTGTTGATTGTATAAAAATAAATATTTTTTCATTTTATTTTTTTCTTTTGTAAACTGGTGCAGTGCAAAAAAATAACAATTTTTCCGCAAGAGATTAATAAAGTGATTGTGTTTGACCCTTGAAGGATCAGTCGGATGAGTCTCCGTCTCGCTGTGGCCGTCACCCAACGCCGCCAGCCAAGTGCTCACCCAGTGAGATGCAATGCCGGTCAGGAGAGTGCATTCACAAAAAGTGGAGGTGTGACGGAGACCCCGACTGCAAAGACGGCAGCGATGAGGCAAACTGCCGTGAGTACACGCCTCCTTTAAAGCAGCGTTTCAGCCAGCGTTCATCTCACACCCACCCAGACTTCAATATTAGCCTACAGACAAAGACCAGTCAGGTCTGGAGAAACCTACTTATCTAGGATGGTTGTGACCTGTTGAAAGGCATAGCTATTTATAAAGCCATGTAAAGATGCTGTTGATGAATTCAGCCTGACTAAAACATGAAGCTAAGCTGTGCTTGCATGCCCCCTGCAGCGGTGCGTACCTGTGGAGCCGATCAGTTCAAATGTGAGGATGGAAGCTGCATCCTGGGCAGCAGACAGTGTAACGGCATCAGGGACTGCGCAGACGGATCAGACGAAGTCGGCTGCAAAAACGGTTTGTACCGCTCTGTGAACGGCTCTATAGAACGTAAGCAAAGTGGCACTGTCAAATACTGCCGTTTGTTTGTTTTTGTTTTTTTTTCCCCTTCCCAGAAGGTTTTGTTTCCATTTGTATGAGACTCTTTGTATTTAAATGCATCTTTAAATACGATGAAAACATACCCTGTTAAAAATCAATACCTCCATCTTTTTAATTCCAATAACTTGAGTTCAAGACTTTCACACTAAATGGCCTCTTTTGTTCAGCATGTTGTCGTTTTGAAAAATAATAATGATGGACGCTGATCGATGGCTCTGAGTCTTTGGGATACTTTTTTCTGTGGTATCCATTTGTAAAGAATGTTGCATGTAGGCAGAGATAGTTCTTCACAAGTATTTTTTTTGTTGTATTTTTTTTCCTCTTCCCAGAAGGTTTTTTTATTTGTATGAAACTCTTTATTTGAATACATCTTTAAATACAATGAAATTGTGCCCTGTTAAAAATCAATACCTCCATCTTTTTAATTCCAAAAACCTAACTTCGAACCTAAAGTTCCACACTTTCACATTATAATGGCCTCTTTTGTTCAGCATGTTTTGAAAAATACTAATGACGGACGCTGATCGATGATATGTTGAGTATGATACGTTTCCTTTATATGTGGAATCATTTGTAAATCTTACAATTTGTGCAGTGACTCAGTGCAACGGGCCAGAGAAGTTCAAGTGTCGCAGCGGGGAATGCATTGAAATGAGCAAAGTGTGCAACAAGGCCCGGGACTGTCCCGACTGGAGCGACGAGCCCATCAAGGAATGCAGTGAGTGACCGCACAGCTCATCTGAAACCCGTTCAGAGTTTGTATGGCCTGTTTTTTTTGTTCTCCTTGAGAGGAATATTTGCTTCCTCATTCAATTCACTTTAATTAAATCTGGTAACAGCGTTTGCTGACAGAAGCCTATTGTAAAGAACCCTTTTCCCGGAAGCTGTGCAGTAAAATAACATAAACCTAAAGGTCAGATTAGAAAGGATTATTGGGAAACCTCGTTAAATGTTCACGCTCAAATCCATAAGCGCCAAAAGGTCTAGAGTACGACTGAGTTGGACTATACATTCTGAGTAAAACCAAATCTATTGAGATAATTAGTCATTTTTACATTTACATGCATGTTACTCAGCCACTACAATGCCTTTATCTGTACTCAAGACGGTTAAAAATCTGAAAATTCGGACAGTCTCAAAATTGAAAACCGGGAAAATGATGCAGAACAGCAAATTCAAAAGAGCTGAGATGGAGAAGCATTGACGTTACAACTCCCTACGCTGGTCTCAGCCCTGAGCTGCAATCGCTGCAGAGCTCTGGGGACTGGATGAATGGGCTGATCTAATTTGCACGTCACACATTAAATGCCTGTTAGCAGTTCCAGGACTCATCAGTGCATTAGACACTAAGTTGATTACTACTGAAGGTTTAGTCCTCTGCCAAGTTTTGGGCATATGATCTGTCTTCTATTCATGGCACACACTTTATGTGTTTATTTATTTTAATGCTTCTGGATTGAAGGTTAGGTTGTCTTTACATTCATATTAAATTGCAAAGCATCCGAGCTAAATCATTCTGGTAAGTGCTGTTTTCAGCTCTTTGAGCCAGCTTTACTGTCTTTCTGTGGTGGGACATCTGGGTGCATGAGAAGTGGAGCATTTGATATTTCTTGTTCTGCTGTTTGTCCTAAGGGCTTACCTCAGTTCTTTGGCCTGCTCCCAAAACGAGAGTTCAACTAAGGATTCAGAGTTGTTGCCAGTAATTGTCGACGTTGCCTGGGATGGCGTTTTTAGCACACTATGTCTGGAAACAGGCCAGATGTTTTAGCTAGCCGTCTGGTACAGATAAAGCCATGCTATTTGGTGGGTCTGGGGTTTTCTCCTACACAGTGGTTAAGTAATTGGTCATGAGGAAGCTTAAATTCAAACAGGATCCTGTATAGAGCTATGAAGTAAACGTTAGGAAAATATCTTGGCTAAAGCTCCAAGAGCTGCTGATCATTCCTGGCTGCCAGTTTGATCTGTACAAACTAAATCAGGCTCTTGTCTTTGGGACAAATTAATAATTAATTACTTAATGACTCTGAAAAAAACTAATTTGCTAATGAATCAGTATGGAATCGATAAGGTTCTGAGAGCTTTGCTCAGGATTGAACTTTTTGATAACGCACTCATTAGAAAACTCTGGAAGTGGCTGTTGAAGTGTGTGTATCTAGACGGGCTCTAAATATTCATGTCATCTTTTTTCCATTAACTCAACATGAGTGTGTTTGAGGAGTTTTTAAAGACTGACTGCACCATCCTGCTGCCTGTGCTCCAGATCTGAACGAGTGTCTTCTGAACAATGGTGGCTGCTCCCACATCTGCAAAGACATGGTGATCGGCTTTGAGTGTGACTGCACTCCTGGACTCCAACTCATCGACCACAAGACCTGCGGAGGTATGGGTTCAATTCAATTTTATTTATATAGCGCCACATCACAACACTCATCTCACAGCGCTTTCCAAACGGAGCAGGTCAGACCCTACTCGGAAGTTAATTACAGAAACCCAAAAATCAGCAGACCAATCTGAAAAGGATCACAAAATTTAGTTTTTTGAAGGACTTTCCTTTCACCTGGGATGGCAACATCTGCATAATGCCGTCAGTTCTTGGTAATGGACTACAGGAAGCTCATTAGAGAAGTCATCCTGTTTTTTAGTTTTCTGAGTGCTTGTTTCAGCCGTTATGCAGAGGAAACACTTCAGCTCCTTCCTCTACTCGGTTCTAAAAGGAGGTAGATGTTAGAGGAAAAAAGAGCAAACTAGCATTGACTTTTGTGGCTGTTATTCTTTAGTATTCATTTAACTGTCTGCAGTTTATCTGGTCCAGTTTAGTCTATTTGAGAGTAACTTTGGAAACAATGCTGAAGTTGTTTCTGGTAACTTTCCTCTTTGTTAGTACACAAATGAATCTGGTAAATGTTTCAAGCAGACAAACCAGCCATTTTGAATGTAGCATCGGAGGACTTTCCCTCATTTGAAAGCAGAGCATGAAGACTGAATGCTCTGTTCAGCTTCAGCTATCCTGTGTTCTGCACTCCGTTTCTCCATTTTGAAGACAACTCATTACGTTTCCCGTCTCCCTGACAGTTTGGATCCACTGGCTGGGTCAGACAATTAGGTTTTGTGTTGTGGAAGCATTCAGTTTACCACGTGACCAGCTGTGTTGTCAGCCTTTTAAAAAGTCTTCCAGCCTCTCTTAGGATGCACTGATGGGACTCTTTCATTGAGGCTTTCTTGGCCTCAAACGCCATTTGGGATATCTTTTAATATTTGTAATCCCATCTGGAATGAACACCAACGATTTGCACAGATGCACTTGATCTACTCCCAGATGTACAAATCAGCAGTAAACTGCTGAAAATGCATGAATGGAGTTTTTCTAACGAGGAGGCCGGTTGCTGTGGAGTGTTCTTGGTGACTAGAAACGCTAATTGGTGCTTTTTAATTAGAATCATGTGCATTTCATCAGTTTTGCTGTCTTGTGCATTTGGGCTCCCTGAAACGTTTTAAGGTATTGGTCCTTGGAAAGTAAAGTGTATTCATTTTTATTTTGCCCCTTTTTTATGCAGACATCAATGAATGTATGAACCCTGGAATCTGCAGTCAGATCTGCATTAACCTGAAGGGCGGGTACAAGTGTGAATGTCACAACGGTTACCAGATGGATCCAGCTACTGGCGTCTGTAAGGCTGTTGGTGAGTCCTCATGCTCCAGACTCTGTTACTCTGCCTGTTCACCTCCTGTAAGTAGATAAAACCTTTAGTTTTTTAATAGAAATGGAACATTCATACACGAGTACCTCTATTAAATCTTAAACCGTTGTTCCATCTGTTCAGTTTCTCATGTTTGTGGAAAAATGTCTTTGGCTTGTAGTGGAACTCGCTATAAACGGCATCTTCCCGACTTGTAACTGAAGACTGTAGTCTCATGAAACTTTTGAATGCCCATCTGACCAGTTAACTATTGAACTAAAACAGCTTTTAAACTGGCTTTTTAGAGAGAATACTGCAATATAATGAATATCAAAGCCACTAGTTTGAGACACAAACGGTTATGCCATCCCTTTGGTCTGATCACATGGGGCCATAGAGCACAATTGTGCCTTTTTACCCACAGAAACAGAAGCCCTCTGTCTCTGTGGCCTGTTCTAAAGATAAAAGAAACCATAGTTTTGGAGCACGTTGATACCTCGCTGGGCCACTTCCTGTTCCTCATTTTGCTCTTTCCTGTCCACAGGTAAGGAGCCCTGCCTGATCTTTACCAACCGCCGAGATATTCGCCGTCTGGGTCTGGAGAGGAAGGAGTACACTCAGATTGTGGAGCAACAGAGGAACACTGTGGCTCTGGATGCTGACTTCAACCAGCAGATGATTTTCTGGGCTGACCTGGGTCAGAAGGCCATATTTAGGTAGATCATAAAAAAGCTTTCTTGTTGTTGTTTCAGCTGTTTAATAACTCAACTTGCTAAAAGAGTGTCTGAACTGGGTTTCGACGGCTTGATTGAGCTTTGGTTTATACCATCTGTGACGCTTTCAAAGATAGATGTACGATAAGTGTTTTATATCTATTGAGCTGGTAACATTGTACAACAACAGAGGTTTGATACTTAAAATGTACAGGTTTTTCTAAACCGAGGCACTAAGATTTTTAACGTTTTGTGAATACAAACTGAATACCTTTTACTGAAGTCTCTTTTAAAGAAGCCTCTTGTCATCTGTGTAATGTATAGATAAATTTGGGTGGACTTCTTAGCTAAGCTTTTCTTTATTTTAAATGTATAACCCAGCACTGCCCTGGATAAACGTGGTGATGTTGGAATGCACAAGAAGCTAATAGACAACATCCAAACTCCTGTGGGGATCGCAGTGGACTGGATCTACAAGAACTTTTACTGGTCTGACCTGGGAACCAAAACGATCTCTGTGGCCAACTTTAATGGCACCAAGCAGAAGGTTCTATTCAACAGAAGCCTGAAGGAACCTGCTTCCATTGCTGTGGATCCACTGTCTGGGTGAGTGGAGTACTTCTGCTCACACCAAAAGCCCGTACTCCACAGCTGACTGTGTTTGTGTCCTGTAGGTTTCTGTACTGGTCAGACTGGGGAGAACCAGCTAAGATTGAGAAGTCTGGCATGAATGGAGTGGACAGACAGGTTCTGGTAGCAACAGACATTCAGTGGCCCAATGGCATCACGCTGGGTAGGAATACAGAAACTCTATTTTTAAAAATATTTTCTTCCCTTGATCACATTTTACTTGAAGCTGGTCATTGCCTCAATTTTAATCTCCACTTTCTTTCCCAGTTCAGTTTGAATTTGTGCTGTTCACCACCCTGCATATGTTCAATAACTACTAAAACTATGAAGTTCAAAATTATAAATGCAGTTTCCTGTTCAGAAGATCAGATCAGTCACTGACAGGGTTTCCATTATCCAGTGTCCATCTCGTCTCTGCTTTCATCAGCTGCTCGAAAAAAGTCTTTGTTAATTTATTTCCATGTACCAGACATGCAAAGGAATCGAAATTACGTTCCTCACCATCCCACAGTGATGGCAAGACATTGACGCAAAGTAATAGGCAATTGATCTGGTTCACAAAATGCCGTATTGATTTGAATCCTCCTCCCCTCCTGATTTCTGCCCTGTATTATACTCTTTGTTCCTTTCATCCTCACTCCCTTGTCAGGTTATTTTAATCTTACTTTTTACCATCTTTCTCCTTGTGCTACATCCTTCCAGATCTGATCAAAGGCAGGTTGTACTGGGTGGACTCGAAGCTGCACATGCTCTGTAGCGTTGACCTGAGTGGAGACAACAGGAAGAAGGTGCTGCAGTCTTCAGATTACCTGGCCCATCCCTTTGCTGTCACGGTTTTTGAGGTACGCCTTTGTTCTGTCCTAATTATGGGATGATTGGATCAAAAACGCTGTGTAAATGCAGCACCAACCGGATCAGTGGGAATATTAACAGATTTTATAAGGAATGAAAGAAGCTGGCGGGTTTAGCTTATAAAATAGCCCCTTTTTTCTAAATGACCCTAGCTGAAGTTCAGAGCAGACTGAACAGGGGACACCTGGACAACTGCCTTTGGTGTGGGTCAGGCTGCCTCAGCATGAATTAACATAACATTTTGACATGCTGAGCTTGGACAGTGGAATTATGATTTTTCACTACCAGCCGTCGTCCTTTGCTGCTGAAGAAATGGGCTGTTGACCAGCACTTATTCATCTCTACCGTTTAGTTTTTACTCAGGCATATTTGTACACCCATTTTCCATTTAGTTTTGAAAATCATGCCGTTTATAAAGATACCCGTAGGGGTAAAAATAGTGGAACCCTGCATTAAAATGTGTCCTTTCAATTTGACTTAGACAAAAACTTGAGTATTTTCTGCTCACGGCTGAAGGAAAGGTGCTGTTCTGTTCTTAGGACCGAGTCTTCTGGACAGACGGTGAAAACCAAGCCATCTACGGCGCTAACAAGTTCACCGGCTCTGACGTGGTGACGCTGGCCAGCAACCTGAACGACCCCCAGGACATCATCGTGTACCACGAGCTGATTCAGCTCTCTGGTAGGAGCTCTCTGCGTGTGATGGAGGGAGTTGGGATGCATGTGAATGAGTCTGATCCAGCGTACTCCACGTGTCTGCGCAGGAACCAACTGGTGCACGGAGCGGGGAGAAAACGGAGGCTGCAGCTACATGTGTCTGCCGGCACCACAGATCAACAAGCACTCGCCCAAATACACCTGCATGTGTCCAGAGGGTCAGGAGCTGGCCTCTGACGGCCTGCGCTGCAGACCAGGTGAGGCCTGGTACTGAGGGGGAGCTGAACACACACAGGTGATCCAGAAAGGCTCTGCGTCTGTGGGGAAAACTTCAGTGACTTAAGCCGGGCGTACACTGTGCGATTTCTGCCCCTTTTTGACACTATTTTTCACTCGTGAGATCAGGTGTTTCAGCTCCCTTGTGTCTCACATGGTGTCATAAACCCAGTGAGAAGCAGCCATTAACCTGTCACCACCTCCAGATCTACATCGTCCGGTCGGATGAAAATCAAACCGGTTTGAATTTCTGGTCGTCCCTCGTGAGGGAATTGTGTTATTGAAGCCATGTTAGGAGCGTTTACGACCAACTCCCCTCCCCTCTGGCTCTGTGCTAACACAGTGGAAGTGACTGAGGATCAGGGCAGCTGTTCCTGTGTCTTGGAATCAAACAATGGAAGCATGGCTTGTGGAGCTCTGGCCGGTCAGCGTGCCTTTTCCACGTGGCCTCCCAGCAGCATCATCAGAATCAGAAATACTTTAATAATCCCAGACGGAAATTATTAATAAAGAAGTTGTTTATGACCGAAAAGTTGGGTGTGACCCTCATATTCCCTCCGTATTGTTTGACTTCATCTTCTTCCTCTTCTATTTCAAGTCCGACGTGTGTTTTTGGCCGTACAATGTGAGGTCAGATGTCATATCGGGTCGTATAGTGAGCACAGAAATCGTGAGCTACGAACTTTGAACCCTGTGATTTGGTGGTGCAGTTTGAGCTGGAGCTACGTGCAACAATTGGAAATATCGCACCGTGTATGCCAGCTTTAAACATAATGAAACAGGCTTCTGATATGAAGCGCTTCCCGTCACTCTGCCTCTCAGCTAAGCTGCTCTGGCATGTTTCTTTGGTGTTTGCTCCCTCTGCGTCTGACCCAAACCAGCTGCCTCTCCGTCTGTGCTGCTGCTCGTCTGACAGCTTAATGGTAGCTGAGTCGGTTTGTGAAGCCATCCAGTTTTTCTGTGTCTTTGTTGAGTCTCGGCAGTCTGTCTTTGTGTCAGCTCAGCCTCACTGTACAAAGTATCCTTCTCCTGACAGCCGAGTTGTCAGTGCCGGAGTCTGATCATGTTTTCATCGCTGTTGGTGGCTGTGTGTGATAGCTCTGGCTCCCTCCTGCCCTTTGGTGTGCATGCTGCCTTCAAGTTTCTGATATCTGGGGTGGAATGTGAGGTGCGACGGACTCTTATCAGCCTGCTACTCCTCAGGGTAGCAGGCTTTGCTCTGGCTCACTCGCTGTGCAGACTTCTGTTCTCCTACCGTCGTATGAGGACCATAGGCGGCAGAACCTTTTAAAAAGGGTAATGAAAACTTTTTTTCCCTGCGTGGTTTCCTGGAACTAAGTGTTTAAACCACAGATTATTTAGCTAGTAACCATTAGTAACCATAAATGGTCAATTGTGGTCAGTTTAGTTAAATTCTGAAGAGGACAAGATTTTTTTTTTTCTCTCCCTAGGTATCTTGTAGGAAAAATGGCTATTCTGACTCTTAAGTGTATTGATCTTAAAGCAGCATGTTGGATTGACCAAAGAGGTTTTGACTGAAGATCATTGTGCCTTGCTGCATAATTTTTAAACTGCTTACCAAATATTTAGACTTTTTTTTTAAGTGTGTGTGTGTGTGTGTGTGTATATATATATATATATAAAAAAGTCGGTTTATTTGGTGTTTGTGCTCAGAGGAAATTGTGGATCTGGGCTTTGTATACATTTTTTTTATTTATTTTTTTTAAATAAAAGTAATCCCCTCTTGTCCAGTTGCTGGAAAAAGGTTGCTTAGAAACTTTGTTTTTGTCTTGGGCAGTTGGGCTTTCCTTGTCTCCCACAGATTAGCCTTTTTAAAGCAAAGCGCTGTCTGATAGGAGCCCGACAGCTGAATGTGCTGCACAAACCCTCCTAATTGGACCCTAACTTCACTGGTATTCACTGAACACTGCAACGTCTCCCTGACAACTCGCACCACCAACTTCTGAGTCTGCTTAGTTGGCCTGTTCTCTTTTCTTCTCTGTAAAGTGAGATCTGATTCAAGTGTTGGCAGTTTCCGCAGCTTGTTTTGTTCCTGTGGGGGTTGTTGCTGGCTTTGTCTTGTATTTTTGTGTTGTCATTCTGTCTTATAGACATTCCCTTTTTAATTTGGCTTTAGTCTGAAAAATTACCTGAAATGTAATGAACTTCCCAGAATCTTAGTCTACAGCATACATTTATTTCAAGTTTAAAACCAGATTATTTGAAGAGTTTCATGGCAGACATTGTGGAGGATATTAGCTGATGACTTTATGCCAGACTGGGTTTGTAGGGTTTAGTTAAAACCAAAGGTTTTAATGCTGCCATGTTATGTTTTTAAAAGTTGGCCATCTCTGATTAATGAGCTTTCATTTCACCGACGGCTGCTGTGATTCACCCAGATGAACAGAGGGCCATGCTGCAGAGAAAATAAACTCCTGATCCACCACCACACGTGCACAAAGGCTAGTGCGTTTACTTTTGCCCTCATTCTAAATTAATACGTTTGAAAGGAAAGAGGCACAAATGTTTGGATGACTCTCCATGGGTGGACCTTTGCTTATTGTAGGAGGCATTCAGGGCTGGTCAAATTGGCTTCGGTGGACATCCAGACACTCTGCTTTTAGCACAGGACAATGAAGTCGAGACTTTCCAAATGAAAGCAGAGCAGAACTTTTATTTTATTTATTTTCTGAGGTTGTTTGAATCCGGAGGTGTCTCCCGGCTAATTAATGTTGTAGGCCTCTGGGACTGAGAACTGTGGTCTTCCTTTTTGTGAACATCTATTTAATGATGCATTTTATTTAAAGGCCCCTTTCTTGACACGGGCCACATTTCATCATCAAACATAAATGGCTCCATTCTCTGTGTATACTGGGTGGATGCTACGGTATCTACATGCACTGCTCAGTGTGAGTCTCTTAGGTTTAGGTCCCCGCCTGCTTTGATGCCGTTTAGACTGTTCCTCCACCCCCTGAAAAGGTTAAGCCGAGCCAAAGCTGCCTTTGCCTTTTCTACCCCAGCAGCAAGCACATTTATCCCTTTTTTACAGTCGTCCCAGCTGGCCTGAATGGCCTGCAGAGTATTGTGCGTCTGCAGCTTTGACCCACCCTAATCTTGTTAGTGAAAGTAACCGGCAGCAGCCCTCACTTCAGGGGTGGACTTAAAATGACCATTAAGGGGTTCTTAGAACAGCTTTTGGGGTGAAGTGGACCCTTTATATCAGTTTAAAGATGTTTCAAACTACCTAAAATGTTTCTAATAAAGTCCCACTTTATTAGAAACATTTAATGGTTTGTTTCCAGGCTCACTTCTCCTGTGTGTGTGATAACTTCTCTCCCGTTCCTGAGCACACCATGTAGCTAGGTTTCATGGTGTCTGAAGTACCTATCTTCCTTTCTGATATATCCCAAAATGTTTTAATTTTTCTGTGAAAACTGTCTCCTGAGGTGCTGCTGTGTGGTGGCACATACTGATTTTCCACATCACACTTAATGATGCGACTGGTACATTGTTGATTTTGGCTTGATTTTGATTCAAAGCCCAATAACAATTTCCCTGAAAGCTGTGCTAACTATGCATATTATAATTAGCTTTGTCTAAACACATGACTGACAGAAAGAGACTGATGCTTTCCATGCTCCACAAACTGATCTGCTTTGGGCTGTGTAGTTGCATTTTGAGCTGCAACGGGTGCTGTGCTCATGTTTTCATTGAATGTAAATACTCCAGGGGAATCCTTCAAAACTGCTTTTTGTGTCTGTCTGTTGGGCTTTTAACCACAAGTTTCACCCGTTTGCTGCTTCTCTGGCCCTCCTGGTTCTGGCTGGGGGACTCCTGATGCCAACAGCTTTACGGGGCATCGGCTTGAGTTGCTTGAAGCTTGTTTCTGGATGAAAACTGGATCCTGTCAGCGCCCCCCCCCCTGTCTGCTGGCTCCGTTGGCTGTGATGGCTTGGTGGAAAGCAGGATCTGTAGTAGTATTTTACCACTGGTCTCCTGAGATCTGGTCCACATTCAGAGAGCCTGACGCATGTTTACAGTTTGAAAGTGGAGCTCTACCTGATGTGTCATTAAAACCGACTTTTCTGTGACAGACCCTTCTTCCACTGTTCCCTCAAAGGATGATGGGAAGGCTCTAATGCAGCCGGCTGAAGGTAAAACTGCGCTTTGTCGTTGGATGCTGTTGTGCCTGAAAGCATGTTGGGCTTTATGCAAGATTAACTCGTCTCCTCCCTCATGGACTCAAGAGGTGCATTTTTCATCAATGTGGGAAGCCTCGGTGCTATTCTCAGCTACTTCCCCTCCTTACACACATGATGCGTTTTAAAGCTGCAGAGTGAATAAAAAGACTCATTCTTCACATCGATTGGAAGCAGGTTTGCCTCTTGTGTCCATGGAACTTAATGGAGATGAAGGTCCTGCTGCACAGCCTCAGCTCCAGCACTAACTCCCGTCTGTCTGAGGGCTGTTCAGTAAACATGTCTCCTGGTGTCTCAGGCTGGCTGCAGAGCAGAGGGCCGGGGTCCGACATGCTCCAGTCAGTAGCTCTCTTCCTGTGCATGATTCAAAGCCGTTTGAAAGAAGGCTTTGAGAGCCGGTGTGGAGATAACTTGCTGAAATACGGCTTTGATTAACTTTGTCTTCTGTGAATAAAGAGCTGGTACAAGTTTTAATCAGAAACTCAAGGCCTGCTGCGGAACCTGTCCATGTGACACTTATTCCAGCCGTTCAGCTCAGCTTTTGTGCTAGCAGATGTATTTTTACTGCCTCTTCACATTCCTCTGGTGTGTTAATGTTGTTTAGAGTCATAGATGAACATTAAAGTGAACTTGAGGCCACAGCTGAGGAGCAGCCCCTGGTGGTGATGAAAGGTCCACGTT